TAAAGGGGCGAGACCCCCACTCCCATGTGGATTTCTGCCTCTTCCCGCTGCAAAGGTGCAGCGCAATAGAAGCCCCCCTAGCCCCACCTCAGCCCCCCGCTTCATCTCGCCAAAGGGGATGGTGCCGGTGGGTGAGTCCCAGCTGAGCCAGGCCTTGACTTTCAGCATCTCCTGTTCTCCCCTCCTTCCTCCTGTCCTCCCTGGACCCACCTCACCCATGTCTCCAGCAGAGCAGGAGCTGCAGGGCAGCCATCGGGTCCTCTTTCACGCCCCTGCCGAGACCACGCTGCCGACGCCAGGGCTCATCCAGTGAGGGCATGGCTCTGGCCATCCTGCCGTCTGCCCCTGCTCCCGCCCAGGGCTGCAGAGGGGAGCTTTGGGTGGCTCTGGAAGACGGATGCGTGCCAGCACTCCCGGTCTGCTCCTGGGGCGCTTCCAGGCAACACAGCTGGAGGGGAGGGAGGCAACACTACATGCGACGGGAAGAAAACCTCTCTCACCCGGCTGCGGCTCTCTTGTTTCTCTGTTCTAGGAGGCACTGAGAGCCTGGCGCTAGCTGGGGCTGGGGCGCTTAGCCCCGCCTGGGGCCAGCGTGGGGGCACTGTCTTGCGCACACTTTAGCGTCCCCCTCCTTTGGGGGATGGTGGGGACGATGCCTGAGAATCGTGCAAAGCTCCTTGCAGGGAGACGCCAGCCCTGCCACCTGCCTGTAGGTTCAGGTTGGTCCACACCTGAGACCTGGTGTGAGGCGCAGCAAGTCTGGGGCGCTCTGGCCATGGCCACCACTCAGCCGGGGGGCGCCGGCACGTTGTGGACAAGCAAGGGGAGTCCTGGGAGCGAGCTGGTGGGCACACGGGTGGAGGGGGAGTGGGGCGGGTTACAGGCGAGGCTTTCAGGCACCGTGTGTAGGGCTCTGGGGTCATCTTTGCTCTTTGCACGCCCTTCACCTGCACCAGGCGGGGGATGCAGCCGAGAGGAAGGATGCGCTGGCCTCCTGCCTCTGGGCCCATGAAGCCGTGTTCGGTCCCAGCAGGATGCGCACTGCCTGCTCCTCGCCGCCCTGGAAGAAAGTCTTCAAAGCAGGGGGAGAGGCCGTGCCTGCTGCGCTCTCCCCAGGCCAGACCTGCCCCCGTGCCAGCCTGGGCTCCCAGGGACACGGAGCTGCCCAGCCGGAGAGGAGGCGGCAGAACGCCTTTGCAAAGCCGTGGCCTCGAACTGGCTCGGCAGGAGCGCTTGTTTGCAAGGGAGGGAGAAGCCTGTGCCCCGAACAGTAAACCTGTGCGGCAGGGTGCTGCCAGGCTCGGCCCTTACCAGTCTCCGGCTGGGCGCAGAGCCGGGAAACGAAACCGAAAGCAGGAGGGGGAGGCAGCCCCAACGCAGTCCCTGGCCATCTCCAGCCGGAGCAAAGGGCCTCGAGCTTCCTGGAGGGGACCAAAAAGCTCTGGCTTCTCCCCCAGCCCACGGGCGCCAGAGACTGGAAGTCAAGTCCAAGTGTAGAGTAAAGGGGAGCCTGGTCCGGGGCGAGACCAAGCGTCCTCTATTTTCCCTGCGGCCCCGGCTCCCTTCGCACCAGCGATGCCCGGCGCGGGGCGGCCTGCGCGGTTCGCTGCAAGGCCCGTGCACTTGTGTCATTCCCGTGACAGCCGGGGGGGGAGGGGGGGGGCTCGGCCTGAGGACAAAGTGTCGGGGAGCTGGCGCTCGCCCTGCCCGCCGCCCTTTCCCGGGGCCCCCGAGCCTGTGCGGGGTCGGGCCGGGTCGTGGCCGGGGCGCGGAGAGAAGCCATCGCCATCATCATCATCATCATCATCATCGTCCCGATGAAGCGCCGCCGCGGGGGGCCCGGGGCCGGGCAGGCGTGGCCCGAGCGGAC